TCACCTGCTGATAGCAGTAGTTTCTTTTTCCATTATATTCTTTGCTTTTGAAATCATATATCTATCTCTCCCTTTTTTTTTCCTCTGCATCTCTTTTTGTTCATCCATTTCTTTCTCTGTCTTTATCTTTTCATCCATCCCTTTACTCCGCCATCGTTGAGAGTAATGTAATAGCATTCGGTTAACGGACACTCCCGCAAAACGGTTGGCAGAATGGTTTGACTAAGAGACGCAAAGTGAGAGAGAGATATATGAAACACGTAGCGAAGGAATTCTCGAAAAGCTGTGCCAGATAAATTGGACCGTATCCACCGGTTGCCGCCGTAATAGTCGAAAGTTAAGAGAAATTGATAACTCACCAGCCGATACAAATAAAAAAAAAATCGATCAAATAAAAACGAAAGTGGGCAATACTTTCTATTGATATCACTCACAGTTAATAAAATATCATGCAGCACCAGTAAGTACGAATGTATCGAGATATATCATGTATAAGAACAAAAGTACAATTATGATAAGTTTAGAAATTCGATATTTTTACTCGCTTATTCAGGCCAGAACGAATAAATATAAATACGATATCATAAAAAATCTATTTTTACGTTCTGTCATATATCTCCTTTGCTTTTTCTCGCTGAGAAGATCATCAAGAGGAAACAGACGAAAAGTGATGCTCACATTAATGCGATGATCAGAATCCATGCAAATTAAAAATTAAAATTGAAAGAAATAAATGCAATAGAAATAATTATTAAAATATAATATATAGAGCCGAAATCAATCGAGATTACATGTAATTCTTTTGTGAAGTAACAACATCTCACATTTAGCCTTCCATTAAAGACGACAGGTGCGCTTTTAGAACTATTTCACTTGTCGTCACATCGACAGCTGCCACGAAGAAACGAGGACAGATAACTAAATTATGTTTGTTTTTAGCAAAGAATGCATATTTAATCAAAACGCATTCTCTCTTGTTGTGGTTAACTTTTCGTATTAGTTTCGATTAATTAACCGAAAATCTGAAATATATTTGTATTTGCTCTCAATATAATTTATTGTCTAAATACATGATTTTAAATTCACATATTTTCTTTTACACTCAATCAACATGACAATCAACATTTCGTGAATGAAATAAGATTATTTTATCAACGTAACTTTCTGATGTAACATCAATCTTATTATTTAATTGAACATTTTGTATTTAGTATACTTGTGATGTTAATTTTGATGCAATTATTGCTTATTTGATCCAAAAAATGATCCTTTCTTCGTCATTTGGACATGATTGGAACGAACTTCTAAACATTACGCTTTAGTATCTTTTCTTTGTCTTTAATTTGAAAGATCTTTCTTTCGGCAATTTAATCTTTGGCTCAAAAACAAGCAAATATATTTGTTCATCCATATTCCCCAGATTTGGCATCGTGCGATTACTTCCTATTAACAAAGTAAATCACTCTAAACATCGTTCGGTGACATCATTCAAGTAATTGTTATTTTTAATAGAATTATATAAGGCATTTTTTATTTATCAAATAGCTGCTTATCATTATTCAAAGTATTCGACCTCTCTACATTAATTCTCATTTACTCATCTGTATATTTTAATGCTGCACTTGCAAAATAAATTAAACGTTAAATACTATATTTTTCTTTTAAAATGATCTCATTCTTTAATTGTCGGGTTGTGTATGCCGTTACTATGAGAAAGAGAGAGACAACAAGATCGAAAGACGGCCAGTGCCTAGTTTACGAGCCACTAAAAATACAAGAACGAACGGCCTCGCCCATACCCCGTCGTCGTCGTCGTCGTCGTCGTCGTCGTCGTCGTCGTCATCGTCGTCGTCTTCTCATCTTCGTCGCCGTTATCCGCGAACATCTTCGCCAAGGGCGTTCGCGATGTTCTCGTTTACAATTATGTGGAGTAACGACCGACCTACATGAAATAGAGTCGCTCCAGTTGAAGCATTCTGCTCGAATGCACATCGGCATCGTTACTTTCCTCTTAGGATGTATAGAAAAAAATTTAATTGATAAGAGAAATCTATTTTGAACAAGAGTGGAAGAAAACGTTCGTCTCAGTCCAGCAAAATTCTGGAATGAAACCCCCGGAATGAAACTTATCTTAACGCTGACTGCGTAAAGAGAAGTAAGAACATAAATAAACCAACAAACGTAATGTGGAAACATACTGTCGGTACGAAGCATAAACATAAGAATATATTGCGCTAATCATTGCTGCGGAGTTCGGTTTGTGTTTTATGTTCTGTGGTACGTGGAATTAGGTACATATTTCTCGAAAATTGTTTCAAAGAAATCGCACGATTTATCAATGGCAAAACATTAAACGTATAAGGATTTATTTATGTATGCAATATATTTAATAACGTTTAATTACTATTATTAATTATAATATATTAACTATAATATACTAAAAATTACAAATTTTTTTAACACAATCTATTATTATCAACAATGCGTTAATCATCATTTTTTAATTTTTATGTTTATAACTTAATATCTCTACATCCATCATCCACCGAATTTTAATGATCTTAAAAATAGAAGATAAGATATTCGCGGAAGCATACTTCGCAATCGAATAAGACTAATCGTCGCACGTGCATGAAACGTTTCCGCTCTATTTGTGAATCGTTCTATTCGAGTTTATGTAATGTTCAACTATGCAAAAGCTAAATTTTTATATGACGTCGACACCATCTCAAAAAACATAATCAATTAATATCAAATATCAATCAAATCATTATCAAATATCATAACAAATATTATTGTAAATGCAAATATCATTGCAAATAATTGTAATGTAATTGTAATTTTCTAGTTTTATTAAAAAGAAAAATTACATATTATGATACAAAAGTGTTCTTTATTCCTCAGGTACTTAAAATTGTTTGTTCTTTATTAATACTAAATTGCAAGATGTATTGAATTGTAACAATAATTAAAATCAGAAATAAAACTTTTTTTAGGATTACATGTCAAAATGTTAGTTTTCTTATATGTCATTAATCAATACTCGACAGAATAAATTGATAAATATTTCTAGGAATTTTCTTTTTTATCTCTTGTTAATAAATGATTTTAATTTACAAATGTCTTGCATATTTGGCAGATGTAGATCTGACAGTTGATTACATGATACAGTTTAAAGTTGTTAATCTACTAAGAAGAAAATCTTTAATAATTTATCTTTAATAATTTAAAAATCTATTTATCAAATGTATGATAATTATGACTCCATGCAAAACAATTTATTTCTTTTAATCTAATAAAAAAAACAAAAAAAAATTGTATAATTTTTTGCTTCAATATTATGATCTAATTTAATTATAATGAAAAAATTTTAACTTATTTGTACTTTACACGCGTGTCTATATTTTCCAAATTCATTGACAATGCTTTCTGTGGGAAACAGAGCCACGTGTTCTATGAAATAAATATTTCTCATTATCTCATTATGTGAAGAAACAATTCCAGATAACATATCAGACAACAAACAATCTTTTATGACAAAAGTAATCTTTTTAATTTGTTTTGTACTGGGGCATAATATTGAGATAGACATTAATATGAAAATGTAATTATTATTTTTATAAATAATTAGACATAACAAATTTCTTAATTTATATAAATTTAAAAAGTGCAAAATCGTTTAAATTTCTAACTGTTTGAGAGAAAGAATTCGACAATTAGTCATTTTAAAATAAAAAATTTAAACAAAAATATTTTATAGTTTGTTTAATCCTACGCATAAATAAGATAAACATAGTTTAAAATTAATGGTCGTCAAGTTCTTTATTCTGAGTTGTTTAGAGAGATCTAAAACGCTTCCAACGTTTTGAAAACATAATTTCTGAATTCTCACAAACTAAGAAATTTGATATCTTGAAAACCGTCATTGTTACGCTATTAGAATCTCATATAAATATACATGTTATTACAATTTTATATAAATATACATTTCTTCATGGAAAAAAAAGAATTCTGACAAGATAAAAGTATTCACTTATTGGCTATTCGATTTGAAGTCGCCCAAAGGCGGAAGAAGCATTCCCCCGCACAGTGGATATGAGTAATTTTAGATTTCTGGCCGAAAGGATGTCTAGGGCTCTTGAGACATCTATACTACTTTCGGTGTTATTATTACACGAACGATCGCGCCAAATTTTGCTCTCATCAATAAACAATCATAAAATAATATAATTTTTTAATACGTCAAGATAATATAATTTTGATACAATTTTTTTTATTATTATAAATGATTATCTGAAACCATTTAAATAATATTAGATTTTTTAAAAATGCATATACTAAATGCATATACTAACGATTGTATTTATTAAAGCTATCTTGAAACTGCATTTTAAAAGAGCAGTAATGTGGGAATACATGCATTTTTCATGAATGCGCATTCTTTTTGCATTATATCAGTGTCTGCTAAGGTGTTATGTTAATGAGTTCGAGCAATAAAAAGAAAAAGATAGAAGTGTACAAGCCTTTAAACGGTAACCTAGAAGAAAAGAATTCGACACGAGCGTACGGCGACACGAGCCACGAGGACGCAGCCGCAGCTGGAAATAGGTTCGACGCGAGAGCTCGTCGTCTGGGTCCTCCGACGCTTCGCCAGTCGATTCGATCATATATCTCTCTCGATAATCTCTTCTCCTTCCTTCCTTCCTTCTCGTTCTACGCCAGAAATTCCCCACGTCAAGATTTTGCATTTGCTTATCTGTATGAAACCATCGCGCCTGTTACGTTGCTCAATTTTAAATGCATAAGATTTTTCCTTAAGTCTTTTTCCTTGATCATAAGTAGCAATAGTTTCATAGATTAATGTTTGTGATAATAAACAGCTCGGAAGAAATTCAACCTGACATAATCGTGAGGTGAAAAGAGAAGAGCTTTATTCGTGCAAATATGACATCGAGAAGATAGAGGTAGGTATCTGGAAATAGGCTTGGTACACGAGCTCATCCGGGATTCCCCGTGAATCCTCTAGGTTCCTTCATTTCTCTCCAATAGATCTCTACACATGATCTTGCCGAATCTCGGTGAAATCGACGGCGAAATATGGTCGGCGACACGTCCGCATTGCGCGACGGCATGAGCCTGAACGCGATCTATGAATGCGCAGGGTGGTCGTCACGGCTGGGACGATATTATGTTTTCAGCGGAGCCGATAGCCGAGAAGAAGAGAGGGGTTTAGTGGTAAGCGCGAAAATAACTCTAACGTGTGCTAAAAGCAGCGTCCACCGGAGCGCCAGCCGTGCTACAGCGCGTTTAAGAGGAGGCCGAATCATCCGATGATCGTCCTTCGGTTTGGCTGAATCTTGAATTTCAATAGACAGTGAATTTCGCGCTTTCATTCTGATGAAGAGCGCGGGAAGGAAAAATGTTGAAAAACAAGCATTTTCCTCGATTCTGCGCAACAAGCTCCCATTTGTGCCCATTAACTTAATTCAAAATGTCACGCTCTTTCCGTCTCTGTTTACGCGCGGTTAAAATTGCAGTGAATGTGAAATTTCGCGACAATGTATTTTGAATCGACGCGGTAAGTTTCTCGTGCTTACCGTTGGTGGCATGATCCACGTTGTCCGAAAATCTGGGGTCGATTATATCACTCGGTATTACGAAAAGATGATTCAAGAGAAAATCACGGTGGGTATGCGAGCTCCCAAACGATATGTGCACGAACAGGTTGTCAAAAATTTTATCTCGTATCGAAAAGCTTATATTGCTCAAGCTATAATTTATCTACAAATAAATTCTACCTATGACGTCCTTTGTCCTTTCCGGTTTTTGGTTATCATCTTCTTGGATCAGTAATACTCGATATTTCCAAGACATATGCGTATACGTAATATAAAATTCAAATGTGATAATGAATAAAATAAACTATATTAATTCTCATTAATCTCATAAAATTGTCTTGATTGAACGTAACGTACTAATCAGATATTCAATAACATAACATTTTTAGCACTTTTCAGAAAAGTTGCATACAAATCTTAAATAAATTGGATAGACCACCAGATTATGAACTGAGTCTGTACGATCATTACTCGCGCACTTTCGCATCTCGCCATGCGTCATGCTAATGAGTCAGTTTCCGCTATATGTATTTCCTGGATTGCTCTAACAAGTAAACGCTCATAACTTGGCTCTCTTCGATCGGAACCAAAAATCCGAATATAAATTCAAACATCAAATTAAGATTCGTGTGTTTTTAAAAAATAGTATATCTCACATTTTCGAAATTTGCCCTAAAAATATATTAGCATACAGTCATTTTTGACAAGTGTCTAAATCTATATTTATTTTTATAAAAGAGAGATGCCGAAAACTGTTCGCGGATATTTGTCTCGCTTATTGAAAGTGAAAAAAAGAAGGATTGTGTTACATCAATTATCTGTGGAGAGCTCCGAAAAGCATACACAAGGATACATTTTGGCGTGTCGCCATGCGAGATGTGACCTTCGGTATATTCAGCATATAGTGCAATTTAATATCTCAACATGTTTGTAAAAAAACAATTCTAATGTTTTATATGAATAATCGGTGAGAAAAGGATTCTTCATAGATTAAATTAAATTAAGTGTTTCATGAGCAACATTGCTAGATTAGTAAATTTGGGAGGCCACTTCGAGACAGGCTGTCCTACTGAGCGGTCGTAGCACTTGGCAGAAGAAGTAGATTTAATACCTGTTAATTCTCACGTGAGAGTAATTTGCGGGAGTAAAACTATCGTTTAATCATATATATCAACGATACTAAAATCTCGCAAAATTCTAACTTTATTTATTCTAACTTTATTACGTATACTCATATAATATAGTTATCTTCCCAAAGGTAAAATTAAAAGTAGAAAGTTTCACCTGTTAATATTTAAAATAATATATAAATTAAAAATTTTTTTGGACAATAGAATCATTATATTCTGAATACAAAATTATTATATTTTATCCAAAATATAATGCAATATATAGTATTTTATATATATATATATATATATGTGTATATAATTTTAATGTTTAATGCTCAATGATGGAATCTATATACATATCTCTAATAGTCGTCTATATTCAGATAAATTTCTTCGATTATTTCGAAGAATTATCATTTTTTTTTGTATATACGACAGTTGCAATGGCAAATCGTACGAGAACCGTACCGGAACCGAGTTCCGTAACTCTAATTCTATAGCTCTCATCCCACAACACCCACTCATGTTATATAATATGCTAACAAGAATTCGAAAAACGTTAATACATTTCTCACGATTAACAGATAATTCTAATATGATAATGAGCAAAAAAATAAAGCAACAACATATACACATAATAGATGCGGTTTTACGTAGAAAAAAGGGTACGTCGGTCATATAAGACATTTGGATTTTTAAAACAGAAAAGATTAAATATATTCACTGTGTATTTAATCATTATAATGTCAATGATCGAGTAGTTTTATTTTTTGATTTTTAAATAAATTTGTAAAATTTTAATATGACATGCCAAATTTCCTCTAATCTTACTTTATTGATGTTTTCATTAGCCATTTTTATTTACAACATTGTTATATATTTCATATAGTTTATAGATATTATTTTCTTGCATGTTTTGTATCGAAATAAAATATTTATTATTAATGAACAATGTGGAAATATTGTTCTACCGAGCACAGCGTTTGTGATATTATATTATTTACTTGTTAGAAAAAGTTTCAATATCTTTAGATATTAATTTATGAAACGCATATACTTTACATATAAAAGATTAAATTAAAAAAAAGATAAAGTTGAAAAATTTAATAAAACAAAAATAATATATTATATATGCTTGCACTATTTTATTTTATTAAAAATCTGATTTATATCGACTAAAAATCTCAAAAATACAATCACATAATGATGAAAGAAAAGAATATTCATGTTTTTAAGATCATCTTAATCACGTTCAACTAAAATGTTCGTGCAAATTCCGGCATTTATGTTAGAAAAACTAAATTATTTTTTTTTTACTATAAACGAATATTCTACTATGGAAATTTAACGATTTTATTCTCGTACTATGAATTTGAGTCGCGTCATACCTGTTGTCGCGCGCTACCCCATTCTAAACAGATAGGGTTCGTTCACATTATTTGATATCACGCCATTAATTAGTAACACGCGACAAGATCGAGAGATCTCGCTTGTTTATACGAGCGGTAGAACACTTACACCAATACACGGCAACAAAGTCCTTCTCGTTGAGGAGCCGTTCGAGTTGCTTGGCAGTGACTTCCTCGATCACCGGCTCGGCTTCCTTCTGCCTGCCGGCCGAGCCGCGGGATGAGGCCGACTCCTCAGCTTTCGTCCTTGCGGCGGCGTCAACGTGACCCAGGAGAACCGTGATCAACGCCAGTACGCCCAGAAGGACAATCGTCCTCGGATGGTGCATCGTCGTCGGTGTCGCAGGGCCGCAGGTAGTAGTACTCCGCCTTCTTCTTCGCCAGCACCACCACCATCGGCCGAACCGTACCGCCGAACCGTCGTTCGCCGTCGACATCGCCGCACTGACTGCCGCACGGCTATTTTTGAATTTTCGGACGTCGGCCACACAGGGAGAACGGTGTTGGGAACGATGAAGACGAGGATGATGACGACGATGGCGATGGCGACAGGGACAGCGACGACGACGACGACGACGACGACGACGACGACGGCGACAATTAAGATGACGTTGCCACGTTACCTTTACCTGACGTTTTTCTATTTATTCCCTGTAAGCAACGCTTCGTAATATAGCATCTTTTTATTAAAAAAAAAATAAAGCAATGTTTTATTTCTCTTTTTAATTAAAACAATTAAAATAAATAAAAAGATATGTGAACAATAATATTACTGAATCGCGCACTAGTATCATATTTAAAAGTTAGATTTTAATTCAAATTAATAAAATAGATAAGCTAATAAATTAATTTTGACAGTTGACACATGTCATAATATTTCGTTATTAAACTGATATTTTGTGATATTATATTGCGATATTAATTATGGAATATATAAATAAGCCCCAAAGCAAAAATAATTTCTTAATAAAAATATTATTGTACAGTTCTACGATAATTTCAATATCATTAAGAGGATCTTTATGAGGAGCATTTTTATCACTTGTCTTATCTGAGCGCGTAACTAACAGCTCTGTTTATTCGTGAATTTGGAAACTATTATGGTCTCGATATTTTCGTATTAAGATTTTCGCCTTATTGTTAGAATATTCCAAAAAATTGGTTCTTAAAAGGAAATGTATAATATTACATTATACTGAAAATTCCTATATATAAATATAAAAAAATATTAAAAAACAGAATAATTATAAACTAGAAACATTTTTTGTTTCAAATTATTTAGGCTGGGTTTCGGTATTCACTGGCAGTGCTGGCAGCACTGTGAATTCGTTCCGATATATGTGACAGTAAGCTTTTGAAGTGTTTTCATATTCATATGACAGCATAGATTTTGACGTCACTTCCTACTTCACTATTGCAGTTTGCAAGGTAAGTCGCAGTAAAAAATGGTAGCATCCATGAAAGAATTGTCGTTTCTTGAAGAGAAATTCGAGAAAAACAGCATAATGAAAAAAATGATTATGTTTAACAGATTGAGAATTTAATGAAGATTATTAGAAAAAAATGATTAATTGTTATGTTAGCAAAAAAATGAACCAAAGTTTTTATTTTATGTTAGAAAGTTTGTTAAGAGTTTATGTTAAGTTGTTTAAGACTGATGATAAAAATTTATTTTTGTTTTTATTTTATATTTATAAATCTTGAAAGGTAAATTATGTGATATAGATGATACAAGTTTATTTTTGTTTTTCTCTTTGTTTTTCTCTTTGTTTTTCTCTCTGTTTTTCTCTTTTATTATAATAAAACAATATAATTTAATAGAGTTAAGTAGAGTATAGTTTAGATATATAGTATAAATATATTTAGTTTAAATATATTTAGTTATATTTAGTTTAGTTACTAATTAATATTTTTCTTTTAATTCATATTATGTACGGCTGTGATATAAATGCAAAACAAAACAGTATTTTTTATTATTATAATATTTATTGGATATATTTAAAATATACATAACAAAAAAATCAAAATATGTGTAATATTTATTTTATTTCAATTACATTATATTATTATTTTAAAAACAAATATAAATATATAAAAATAAATTGTTATGTTTATCGCATTTTTTGTTATTTGGTAATAAATACATAATAGCATTTCTCTTATTAATATCTTCTCTTTGTTCATTATTGTGGTTGTGCAATATTTGCATCATTAATGATAATAGGAATACAAAAACAGAAAGGTAACAGATTTCACTCCATTCAATTACAAGTTAGTTATTAATGACCAAATATATATTTCTAAAATTTGTCTTTCAGTAAGATTATCATTATCTTTAAATGATACCATGACATGTTTAATAAGACGATATGCTGCCTTACCTAATATATAGCTGTTATATGAGAAATTTTTATCTATAAGCATGCTTTTAACATGTGATAATCGAAACATACGCATGTCGTGTACAAATTCCACTTGTCCCGTGTAACAGTGAATAAAACGCAATAATTGTGCCTCACAAATAACTTAAAACAAAATTATATACAACAAGAATAATAAAGTAGTAAATAATAATTCGTAAATAATGTTAGAAGTAAATGTAAGAAGTATATATTTGGTCATTAATAACTAACTTGTAACTGAATGGAGTGAAATCTGTTCCCTTTCTGTTTACATATGATTCGCTGTGATCTTTTGGCGCAGTAATTTTTATATGTGTTCTGTCCATTGCACCAATAACACCTGGGAAACCGTAAGTATTTTCTATTGTTTCTATAGTTTGCTCTGTTTCTTGTCTATTTGGCACATTTAATAAATGTTTCTGCTTTTATAAATGTTTTTGCATACAATGCTGTTATTACTCTCTGCACAATTCGTCATGCAGTGCCTTTACCTACATTAAATCTGTCTGAAATACATCTGTATAATTTATTAGTTATATAGTTCAAAAAATTTCTTTTTTAATTTTAATAATTAATATGCATATTTACCTATATAAATTTGGTGTAGCCAATGTCCATATTGCAATAAGTAGTTGTTTCTCAGGTAAAATTGGTTCTCTGCCAAATCTTTTGCTCTGTTTGCTGAGTTTGGGTCTTAGCAACTCTAATAAAAATTGGAAAGTACTCCGTTTTATTCTAAAACAATTAATTATTATTTAGATATATAAAATATAAAATAAATATGGAAAAAATGTTTAATAGAGAAAGAGAGAGAGAGAGAGAGAGAGAGAGAGAGAGAGAGAAGAAAGAAA